CCCTCTCCAATCAGGGACCCCTTGGGGAATGTCCGACTGCTGATCTAGGCCCAATCTCGGACCTAATCCGGCAGTCAGACATCCCTCTCACAATCAGGGACCACTGGCTCCTAACTGCCTGCTTGCCTGATCGCTCCTAACTGCCTCTGCCTGCCTGCCTGCCTGCCTGACCCTAACTGCTCTCCCCTGCCAGCCTGATCGCCCCTAACAACTCTCCCCTGCTAACCTGATTGCCCCTAACCACCTCTGCCTCAGACCCCACCACCGTGGCTTTGCCCAGAAGGACATCCAAAAGGATGTCCTGTCTATCCAGTCTAATTAGCCTATCACCCTTTTATTATATTGATAATGTATATCTTGAAGAGTAAACAGCATCTATTAATACTGGCTATATGGAAGAGATATTTTTTTCACTCTACACACTTTTTAAACCATGTGATTATATGACCTATGTAAAAATTACATTTAAAAATTATAACTAGTATCAATTTAAAGTAAAACAACCCCTACACCACATCAAGAGTTAGATAAGATCCTATCTTTCCCAGGGTTCTCAAAAATGCCATCTTCCTCAAAATATTTTTCCCCACTAGCCACCCTGGCTTAACTCCCCTAGTTAAAATGGAAACAAATATTCTGAGGGCAATAAGTGTCATTATCCATTATCAAAGGTTGAAGATTAGTTTATGACATTAGCATAATAAAAGAAAGTTACAAAGAGGCTGTGTATAGTTTACCTAACTCCTATTTCTTTTCCTTTTGCCCTCAAGTAACTAAAGTCACTTTGTTTTACTCAAAGAACTTTTGTATTAGTAAAAGAACTCCTTTAGGAATTCTACAAGTCCTATGAATGTTTTTACTGTTTCCACAAACACTGCCCTCCCATCCAGTCTTCTCTGTCAGCCCAATCTCAGCCCGAGAGGGCTGGCACAGGGACACAGCCAGGCACTACAGAAAGCGACTATCCAAGCTCTTAGTGACACCTAGGCAAGGCCGGGCCATTCTCTAGAAACTGAAGTTGAAATCTCAAATCTAAAAATGTCAATGGGATACTTAAATGTGTTCGCATCTCAAACGATAATCCATTCATTCGGGCAGAATCTGTCTACCAAGAGCCTACCTACTATGTCCTCGACACAGCACTCAGCAACTAACTGAGCAGAAAAATAATCTAAGACTTGCAAATAAACAGCAGATATTCAGTAAGTGCACATTAATTAGATTAGATTAACTTCTTGAACTTCCCTGCCTGATCTTTGAAAAGTCTTTTGTTACTTATCTTCTTTACATGGCAGTAGATTTCAGTGTTCCATATGTCAGTAGCATGTGACTTTTTCCCATTATATGAAGATACACTTTGTAATGCTGGTCCCTTTTGCCCTATTTCTCTTGCTGTTTGCCCAGAGTGAAGTGACTGTGGCTAGTGAATCTGACTCTTGGTCCAGGTGAGTTAACTGGCCCCGAGGCTAAGGCAGCCTGCTCTGCTAAGCTGGACTAACAACTGGCAGGTGAGAAGGCCAGCCCAGAGCATCACAACTCTGATCTGCTGGCCTAGGACCAACTCCAAGTGCTGCTGAAGTGAGGCCGGGAGATCAACTGTCAAGACTGGAGCATCGACCTTCCTGACCTTACACCCAAGTTTCCTTAGTTCCTGAAATACCGAGATGAAAATTATTTTTACTACTTTAATCAATAGTGATGCCCACCCTGCGGACTGGTGCAGCCGCTATAGAAAAATTAACAATGGATCTGCCTTAGGACCCAGAGAGTCCGCATCTGGGAATATATCTGAAGAAACCCAAAACACTAATTTGAGAGAATACATGCACCACTGCAGCATATATACAACAGCCACGCTATGGAAGCAGCCCAAGTGCCCATCAGGAGATGAGTAGATAAAAAAAGCTGTGAGATATATAAATATATATATATACACACACACACACACACACACACACACACACAATAGGCTATTTCTCAGGCATAAAAAAATAATGAATCTTACCACCTGCAACAGCATGGATGGCCCTAGAGTGGAGTGTATTGTGCTCAGTTAAATAAGTCAGTCAGAGAAAGACAATTACCCTATGATTTCACTCAAGTGTGGAGAATCTACAGAACAAAATAAACAACACTGGAACAGACTTAGATAAAAAGAGAGAACTTGCGGTGGACAGAGCGGGGGAAGGTTAGGGGACTGGATGAAAAATGGGATGGGTGTTGGGAGGATGGGTGGAAAAACGTGAAGGCATTAAGAAGTACAAATTGGTAATTACAGAATAGCCATGGAGATATAAAGAACAGCAGGTCGATAATATTGTAAGTATGTATGGTGTCATATGGGTACTAGGTAGTCTAGTAAATTATATAATGTCCAATCACTGGGTTATACACCGGAAGCATACAATATTGTGTATCAACTGTAATTGAAAAATAAAAATATATTTTTAAAAAATTATTCCCACCCAAGTAAAATCGAAATCCTCACACATCAGAGATGTCCGACAGATACTAGACTAATTAGAGGGGAAACCCTGTGTCAGTGAGCACACACAGACCTTATTTTCCTCCTCCTCATCATCAGCAGCAAACACTGCTCGAGTTCCTACTGGGGATAAGGGATAACAAAAGGTGTTAATCATGTCGTAACTACATGGAGTTACAGCCGATAACTGTTCTGTAAGGCGCGGAGAAGCATTTGAATGCTCCGAGACACGAAATCCTTCTCCCTTTTAGTTTAGGCTTCTCCGGCCGCCTATTTTTAACCAGGTCTGCATTTTTTTTCTCTATAGAAGGAAGTCGGTAAGAAAAAAACGAGGAAGAAAGGAGGAAGGAAAGAGGGATGGACAGACTGAAGGACAGACCCCAGTGTTTGACATGTGTAGCTGACACTCAATTAATCCAAATGTGTAAGAATACACGAGGATTCTTTTCTTCATGCTGAATCCAATCTCCCGGAGTAAAGTAGTCGCTGCATCTTACCAGGCACCATTTGGTCCTGTGTGGTCCAGCTCCCACCCCCACAGAACTGCAGATATTTTATACTACACCACATGCTGATGCTTCCATTCATCAGGGAGAGAACACTTTTTAAACCATAAACTCACATTACTAGAAATACAGCACAACTAAAGCCACCAGTACAGTTTTAAAAAAATTGTATGTGAATAATATGCATTTCAATTCTAAGCAGCATACAACTTGTAAAGTGAATTTCCTAACAGACTTGTTTTCTTAAGGCTACTATAAAAATAGAAGTCCTAATAAAAATAGAAGTCCTAACCCTAACCAGTTTGGCTCAGTGAATAGAGCATCGGTCTGCGGACTGAAGGGTCCCAGGTTCAATTCCAGTCAGGGGCACATACCTTGGTTGCGGGCACATCCCTTAGTAGGAAGTATGCAGGAGGCAGCTGATCGATGATTCTCTCTCATTGATGTTTCTAACTCTCTATCCCTCTCCCTCTCTGTAAAAAAATCAATATATATATATATATATATATATATATATATATACATACACACACAGTGTGTATATATATATATATATATATATATATATATATGTATTTTTTTTAATACAAGTCCTAAAAGACCGATCTGTTTTCCTTAGTTTGTACTTCACCTCTTCTGTTACCTGAAATGTCCGGGTAGTATACATGCGAGGTTACATGTGCTGCTTCATTTAATGCCACCTTTCAAGTACTATCATCTCTAACTTGTCTCCTAAACCCCCTTCCTGGATTCCCCAAAGTTTTCTCTCCCCGGAATGTTCCAGGTGACAGGTTGGTAACCCACAGCCTGAGGCTTGTAGGCCCTCAGGGGTAGGCTGCAGTAAGACTTTGACCCCACCTTCTAAACTTCCTGTGCCCGCTAACGGGCACTCTGAACCTCTTAATGCTTAACCCCTTTTTCACAGATGTACCGCTATCCCAAAGTGCCTCATGTGTCTGTTCATTGTCTGGTTCCCGGAAGAATACAATCTCTAGATAGCTGGGCATTCCCGCGTCTTGTTGACTCCACCCCAGCTTCCAGAATAATACCTGGCTTGTACAAAATGCTCAATAAATACACCCTGAACAGTAACTTCTTACAATACCCTAAAGAACCGCAGTGCCATTTATCAGTGATCAACAAACCAACTAGTAAAATCTAGAAAAGAAAGCAGAAAAATACACCTGCTCACCAACTCTTGCTAAATTGGACTGGGGGGGGGGGGGGGGATGGACAGCTAAATGAAGGTTTTTAAGAAAAACTGATACGACTGATTTTTTAGACTCCAGAAGTTCCTCTTCCTTAGTACACGCAATTACTGATCAACTCGCAGAGTGAGCGAGCCTGACTGTCTCACCCACCACCCTCATCACCTCCTTTCACCGAGGGCGCAGGTCAGATCGCAGGCAAACACACAGCCCGGGGTAGGGGCCCCCTGACAAATGTGCTTATGGAGTGGGTCCCCCCACCCCCTCCCCGCGGGCCCGGACAGCTTGCCTAAGGGCAGCGCCATTCATTCCTGGGGCTGAGTGTCAGGCCAGCACAGAGTCCATTTCGCTCACGGGTGCGAGCCGGAAGCTGCGAGGCAGCGAAAGTCGGGTTCGGCACCGAGGCCGGGCAAAGCCCATCTAAAACGTGTCCTGTCCTGCCTCCCCGCTCCCATCCCACCCCCGCCCCGGCCGCAGCCTCCCCCGCGGCACGGGGGTCCGGCGCCCCCTTCCTAACCCAGCAGCCAGCGGGCGGCGCTCCTTCCCATCACGGTGGGCGCAGGATGGGGGGGGGGGGGGGAGTGACCGGGTTTGGGGTGCAGGGCTGGGGGGGGGGGGAGTCTGTCCGGTGAGCGGTCCCCAAGTTCCCTCCGCGGAGAAGGGTCGGGAGCCCCGCACGGCGATCGGGACCCGCTCCGGCCGCGGGCACCGAGCACATCCCGCCGCCCCGGGGACCCCGCCCGCCGGGCCGAGCGGACGCCGGGAGCGGGGGACGGCGCGGGGGGCGCGGGCCGTACTCACCCGCGGCCGGAGGGCCCGCCGGCTGCGGGCGGCGGCGAAGCGGGGCGGCGGGGCGCGCGGGCCGCGGCGGGCGAGCGAGAGCAGCGCGCCCAGCAGGAAGGCGGCGGCGGCGGCCGCCAGGCACAGGCCGAGCCCGAGCAGCGCGGCGCCCGGCCCCGCGCCCCCCGCCGCCCCGCGCCCCAGGCCGGCCAGGGCCGCGGCCGCCAGCACGGCCCCCGCCGCCGGCGCCCGCCAGCGCCCGGCCCGGCCCCGCCCGGGGGCCCGCCGCTCGCCCGGGGCGCCCGGGGCCGCGGGGCCGCCGCCGCCGGAGGCTCCGGGGTGCATGCTGCCGCCCGGCCGGGGCGCACGCTCATCTCCCGGCCCGCGGCCCCGCGGCGCCGCCCCGGCCCCGGCCGCCGCCGCTCCGGAGGCAGAGGCGCCCGGCGCTCATGCCCTCGCGGTGCCTCCGGGGAACGGTCCTCCGCCGCCGCCGCCGCCGCCGCCGGTGCCGGTGCCGGTCCGCAGTGCCCGGCGCCCAGGTAGCGGGCGGGGTTGTGACTTCAGCGGCGGGGCCGCGGGGCGGGGCGGGGGCGGCGGAGGGCGGGGGCCGGGCCGTGAGTGACAGCGCGAGGGCCCGCCCCCCGGGCCAGGGGGCGCGACCCGCTAGGTCCGGGGCCTTCCCGTCCCCCCTCGCCCCCGCCCCCGATCCCTCCCCGCCCCATACACACACACCCACACACCCGCCCCACACACACACACAGGGCCTACGGGTGGAAAATTTCGCTGCAGGTGCCAGAGGCATCTGTGATTCCGGGGCTCAGGTGGTCCTGTCATCCTCCCTCTCCGTTCATCCCTGGCACGCAACCTCCTCGCATGCTTACAGCCCCCCCAAACGTCTGCCTTGTGTTCACCCGCTACTTGGATTAAGTAGGCAACCGTCCCTGGTCCTCACTTTTAACACAGTTACGCCTAACAACCCCCCTCCCACCCCCAACCCCCCCACTTCCCATCGGGCCGCCCCCGGGAAGGAAGCAGACAAACGTGGAGTAAATGGAGCCTGCAATTCCTCGTTGTGCAAAGGCAGGCCCAAGAAGCGGGCCTGGTGCCAGGCGGGTGCCAGGCGGCTAGCAGCTTCCCTCATCACTTTGGCTCCACGTCCCTGCATTTGTGTTGCCAGCGGCGCTCAGTGTAAATGCTGCTGCCCACGCAAGTGAAAGTGGCTCACATAATTGTGAGAGTACAGATTTTCTCCCGCCGTCCCAGCGTTAATACACAGCTCAGGCTTGCTGAGAAGACACCAATATCCTAGAGAAATACAAGCAGAGACTACTAAGATCAATAAAGCAGCAGGCGTATCTTTAACGAATAAATAAGGAATTCTAAAAAAGATGAATGATTATTAAAAGGGAAGGTAGGGTGGTAGAGAGAACAAATCCATAATAGAAAGGGGCAGGAGAGGAAAAGAGATGAGGGAAGCCATGAGAAATTAAAGGTTATGGGAAACACTTATAAGCAGAAGCTCAGAGCTCTCTGCTTGTATCAGTCACGAAGAATTTCAATTTTAAAGGCACTATTGAGTTATATCCTACTTCCCAGTAAGCACAGTTAAGGAAAATAAGCATTAAAAATGTTTTTAAATACTGTGACTATACTATGTTTCTCTAAGGCATCATCTGTGTCATATCAACAGAGAAAAATATATAACACCGATGTGTAAACTAAAATATTTAGTGGATACTTATTCTTTGAAAACAAAGTATTGTCCAAGAGGTTATTATTTAAAAAAAAAAAAAAAAGAAATACTGGAGTCCATAGATATACACAGCCCACCCATGTGTTCATGTCTTCATAATAAATTTCCCTGGAATGGCATAGATTCATAGAAGTCTAAAAATAATCACAAACATTTAGCTCTAACAAAACAGCATATAAGTTAATTATTTTATATCCTGTATAATAAAAGGGTAATATGCAAATTGCCCCTTCAACTGGGAGTTCGAGCAGAGTTCAACCTGGGGGCAGGGCCCCTTCCTTCTGGCCAGCCAGATCTACTCCAACAGGGTGGGCCAGCCAGACCCCACCTGTGCATGAATTCGTGCACCAGGCCTCTAGTATCTATATAAAAATGTATTTACATTTATCACTTTGTAATCTTTTAAAAAATATATTAATATTCATGTGACACTTCTTATACCTTGTAAGTCAAAGATAAGATATTGCCTTGTGCCAGCTGTGACTTTGCCATGCCTAGATGATGACCTCAAATGAAGTTACTACCTTCCTGTTCTCCTTTAAATAAAGTAGTGTAACTGATTTTGAAGGATTCTTTTTTCCTCTAAAATAGTTAACATTCATCCCACTAGATCTCCTCCAAGTGTACCCACTAATCCAAATTATTTCAAGGTAGCTTGTTATTACCAACAATCATATCTACATTTTTGATCATTTAAATCCATGCCAAGGACTGTGTGTTAAGGGCTTTATATACCTTCTCCAATTTATTTTTTTTTCTTTTATTTTTTAAGAGATTTTTCTTTTTTAAAAATATATTTCATTGATTTTTTTTACAGAGAGGAAGAGAGAGGGACAGAGAGTTAGAAACACAGATGAGAGAGAATCATCAATCAACTGCCTCTTGTACACCCCCTACAGGGAATGTGCCCACAATCAAGGTACATGCCCTTGACTGGAAATGAACCTAGGACTTTTCAGTCTGCAGGCCGAAGCTCTATCCACTGAGCCAAACCAGTTTCGGCTCATTCTCCAATTTAAATCCATAGCTGACAATAATGGTAACTAATTGAGTACTCACTGTGTGCCCGATACTATTCTAAGAACTAGGTAGACATGCTTCATCTATCTTCAGAACAACTTGTTATCACCGTCTACACATGAGGAAACTGAGGCAAAGGAGGTAAAATAACTTGCTCAGCATTAGAGCTAATAAATATCATGGTTGGTTTTAGAGCTATGCATTTAACCACTATGTCATGGCACTTCCTAAAAACTGTCATTTACTCATCCCATGTTACAAAGGAGAAAAAGCAGGGTTTAATCCTTGAGCTTACGATTTGTGTTTTATACTTCAAAGTATTTAGTTTTGTTGCTCTGTGAGGGTTGCTGGTATCTTAGCCAGGCTCCTGATAAGTATAAGTGGTTATAACTTGAATCCGTAAAGGAGAAACTGGCCTGACTTTTATTAAGGGTCCTGGTCCGAAACTCTTAAGACCACGATCTTTCCAACACACCAGTATATTGCTCCCCAGAATAACGCAGATCTGGAGAAATGTACACTCAGGGTCAGAAGACTTCCTTGAAGCAGATGCCTTTCTGCTGCTAAGTCAGCACTGACACTTCACACACTTCCTAACCAATAGTACTGGGCCTCCACCCTGTGCAAAGTCGGAGGGTCACAAGTCAGGTAAGATGAGGAGCACAGGAGAGGGAGTAGGATCAGGAGGCATGGGGGGAGATGAGGCCAGGAGCCAGGCATTCAATGAGAATCCTGGTGTCCTTCCAAGAAGCCGGTGTTGAGTCCTTCCAGGCCTAAAGGTTAAAAAGCAAACTGAGGAGGGATGCCCTATCTGTTTCCCTTAAAGACGGCACATTTTGATAGGCAATAACTGAATGTTCCATAGGCTATCTTCATTATTCTTTTAAGGTAGGAATGACATCTGCCTTAACTCATTGGGACATTATGAGGACATTTAAAATATTAGGCAGTGTAAATAGGTAATCAATACCTGATATCTGTCAAAATGTGATACATCTTCCCCTTCACGAGTATATTTCTTCTTAAACCCTCTGGACACCTTGGAAGTGATCAGGATTAGAGAGAAAACCACAGTATTTGCCCTCAACCACTTTGGGGGAAACTGAATAAAGATGTTAACATGAGCCTCGATATTCTACTTTCTTCTACTGATTCACTATAAGGCCCTAACAGATCAGTTAACCTCTCTCCCTCTCTCTCTCTCTCTCTCTCTCTCTCTCTCTCTCTCTCTCTCTCTCTCTCAATTTTCAATGTGGTTTTGTGATTTACAAAAATATGTGAAATCATAAAGTACTTTAAAAACAAATAATAGATGACTAAAGCTTAAAGGAAACGCACTGCAGCATTTCTAAGAGGAAGATGAAACTGTGAACAAAATTTGAGAACACATTTACAGGTTGTTCCCACAAAATGTATACACACTGAATAATTATTCATTCCAATGGGTTAAATTGGAAAAGAAACATCAATTGAGCTATCTGTGTTAAGTGTGTGTACATTTTTTGGGATACCCTCTATATCATCATGCTGAGTGGGGCTCCATATTAGTACAGCCATACTTCATTTTATTGCACTTTGCTTTACAGTACTTCACAGATGCTGCATTTTTTTTAATTTTTTTTTTACAAATTGAAAATTTGTGGCAATCCAGTGTAAAACAAGTCTATCAGTGCCATTTTGCGACAGCATTTGCTCACAATATGTGATATCTTGGTAATTCCTGCAATATTTCAAACTTTTTCATTATTATACTTTTATGGTATTCTGTGATATTTTAAAAATATATAATTTTTATTGATTTCAGAGAGGAAGAGAGATAGAAACATCAATGATGAGAGAGAATCATTGATTGGCTGCCTCCTGCATGCCCCCACTGGGGATCAAACCTACAACCCAGGCATGTGCCCTTGACCGGAATCAAACCTGGGACCCTACAGTCCATAAGTCAACGCTCTATTCACTGAGCTAAACCAGCTAGGTCTATTCTGTGATATTTGATGTTACTATTGTAATGTTTGGAGCTGCCAGGAACCACATCCATATAAGACGATGAACTCAATCAATAAATGTGCTCCAACTGCTCCACCCACTGGCCATTCCAGTATCTGTCCCCTGGGGCTTTTCTAGTCCCTGGGTCCCCAGTCCCTCAAACAATAATATTTACATTAGGCTAATTGATCACCATAGGATGGCCTCTAAGTGTTCAAGTGAAAGGAGGAGGTGCATGTCTCTCACTTTACATCAAAAGCTTGAGATGATTACGTACGTTTAGTGAGGAAGGCAG